CCTTATTTCCTTCAAGTTGTAAAACCCTAGCTGAGATGTGTTTCAGTAAGACTGATGCACATGTTCAAAACTTTCTTCATATTGAAAACACTTCACTTTGGGGATAACTTACATCTCAGCTGTGTGAAAGCTGTTGGAGCAATTCCTCACGGAGATGCATCGACCGTTTTTCTAAATAAATTCGACTCTTTTAATGTCACTCGCACCTCCTCTGGTAATCAGTCGAATGTTTTATCCCATGTAATGAAGCAGGTGATGCCTCACGATGTCCTGACCCTCAGACTGGAAACTTTTACCCGCCCACGCTGAACATCAGAAGCACAGAATACCCTCCCACTCACTACACAGAAGTGAAAAATAAGCTAAAGGACCAATCCTGTCCTCTTGATTCAACCCACCTACATGTCCTCGGGTGTTTTTCTCATTTTACCTCTGCTTTTTCTATTTTCTGATTATTTGACGGCGAGCATCACACAGAGCCACTGTTTGCATAGATCCTTGTTTCCAGTAGCCGATGCCTGGCACCTCCTTCTGTAGCAGGTTGCAAAAGACAGCGGCGTAGGTGACCAGTCCACAGCCTGTTATGTGTCTCAGCTGAGTCACACTAAGAATTTATGACTGCAGTAGCCAAAGCTAACAGGGTGATCATCCTATCAAACAAAAATATTGTGTGTTTTTTTTTTATTGTGTGTTTACTTATTGTTGTAACTGGAAGCAACAGTGCATATCCAGCCCATCCCATCTGCTCCCTTACATTTACCTTGTGGCTCATTCTGACTCACACATTCAGAAATGAAAATTTACTGAATGTTGTCTAAACTCTCGGGGACCAGCGTCCTTTTTTATTGTGAAGTTGGATTTGTTTTACAGTCGATGGTGGATAATTAGAAGATTTTTTTTCGCACTGTTTGAATGCCTTCTTCTAAACTGCTAAAAGGCCTTGAGGCATTTTGGAGGAGGGGACAACAAAACAGCAGTGGATGATTGCTTCATGTACATAAATGCATCTTCTCAAAGGAATGTCATTTGAGGCTCTGAAGCTGTTCAGGGCTTCCACTATGATGCATCAGTTGTGTAGTACAGCGGTGCAGAGAGTTATATTGGAGGTGACTCCCATCAGGGCTATAAATAGCTTTGCACTTTCCCCCCAGGAGCTCAGCTAGCGCTCTCCCAGGCATTTGATCACTTGTTTGTAGTGAACTGACATCACCCACTTCTGCCTTTTTCTCACTGACTTTCTGACTCCTGCATATAAACACACGCACACATACACACGCATACAAAACGCTGTAGCTTAATTATAGCTTGAATACAGTGCTCATGGAGACCTTCATCAGCTGCTGTGATGATGATGATGATGCCTTTGAGGGCAGATAGTTTGCCTCAGGGTTTCCCTAAACTACGCTACTACACTTACTGATGACTCACCTAATCGCTTAAGACTCAACTACGACTGCTGCGAACAAAGCCGTGGGCACAGAGTAAAGTCAATTCTCAGATACAGCATCACTCTTTAATAAATAAACTGCTGCTCTTAATTGGAGGGGAAGGGGATTCGGGCACAAGCCTCATAACATGTGGGAGTATGAAGCGAGTGAAAACGAAAAAAGATACATAAAAAACCCCTGCAGGCTGTGTCTGACCCCGGCGAGTCACTGTCTACGCGAGCTTCTGCAGAACTGAGCATGACTCAGTAACAAGCACGAACATTAGTGAAGTGCACTTCTATTGCTGGCTACCTTACCTGGGGTTTTATCTCATTTATTGGAACACAGAGTGCCGCTTGTACAGTTTTTGCTTTTTGAAGTGCAATTCCCTTTTTCCTTTAGACAAAAATGCCTCACTGAGATGTTACAAAAACACCGAAAATTGCAGAATGTTGTGGAGACGGGGTGACCACGGCATGTCCCCTTGCACTTAATCAATTTACACTTTAAGAGTTTTTAAGGCAGAAACAACTTTGTTAATGGTTAGTAAACTACTATGGTTATTGACCAATTTATGGGCAATTATAAAGTCTGAATTCATATAAAAACAGACTTGTATTTAACTAACAACATGATGTAAACTGATTCAAACTTAATTTGATTAACATTTTATTCTTGTTTAAATGATTAATAATGGTTGTGAACCCAAACTTTGTTTTATTAACACCAGTTTTTAAATTGTCAGGCAGTGAAATGTTCCAAAAGTTACATCCTTTGACATAACATTTAACCCTGTAAGCATTTATAAAATACTATAATTTATAACTAATCGCTTTATTAAACAGAGCACTGTCGTACTGAGGTTTAAGGAAACCCCCCTTGTACCTTGACATTAAGAAAGACTTATGGCTGTATATATAGCAAATGTTTCACTTACTAATGATTTAAAGCTCCACCTTCCAAAGTCATTAACATGAACAACTTCAGTGCGACCAAAATAACTAGCTAAAATGGATTATAACACTATCTGCATCCATTGAAAGGTTTGCGAACTGACAGAAGGCTGACAGAGGGGGAAGAACTCATTTTCTTAATTAAAGACCTATTGCTTCTGTGGCCGATTAGAAGTCAGTAGATCCAGGATTATTTAACTTTGAGTTACATACGTTATTAACAAGATTATTGCCAAATTAATAAAAGGATATAACCACATGGACTCCCGAGAGACAGCTGGTGTTTGATCTGCAAAGCAAGGGCATTTCAGTGAGTCTTTCCAAGTCGGTGGGAGAGTGGGACCAAAAACACAGCAGGTTTAAACAAAAATAAAAAACACAGTTTTCAGGCTCAGTTAGAGGTTTGATTGTGTGAAAATTGGTGCTGTATAAGAATTTACACATATCTTTATTTAGGATTTTTTAAAAAACAAATGACAAAAGTAAACGTTCATTTTTCTTATTCTGTGTAGCTTAACAGTCCACGGGTTGTGTAATCAAAATATATTTAAAATATATTTAAAGTGTCTAAAGTAAGTGCAGGCATTATGTGATGCATGACTATACTATACTATAAAGACACATCTCCTGGATGCACTGGTACGCATCTTCAGTGATGTATCCTAGGGTCATCAGGTGTTTCGGGTCTCACAACATCATACACCCTCGCCCAGGCGACCCAGCCGGGGGTGATCAGGCCCCGACTTGCGTACCAGTAGCTACCCACGGATCAGCCCTCTTAATCCACAGCCACCTTGTGGCTTTCTCTGCCGCTTCACTCACAGCCTGGATGGCCCTCTTCTTGGCTGCCCCAGCCACGCCCAGCCGGCCTAGGACTTTGCAGAGTGATCGTCCTGCAAAGCCCCTACAACCCACTTCTATGGGCTCATAGAAAGTCTTCCAGCCCCTTCCCCTGCACTCTTGCACTAGTTCCTGGTACTTTCCTCGTTTCCTTTCATTAGCCTCCTCAATCCGCTCTTCCCAGGGCACTGTGAGTTCCAGCATGATCAGCTGTTTTGAGGCCGCAGAAATAATTATCAAGTCTGGCCGGAGTGATGTTTCTGCAATGTTCTGAGGAAACTTTAGTTGTTTACCCAGGTCAGCCTGTAGCTGCCAATCAGAGGCTGTGTGGAGAAGGCCAGTTGTCAAATGTGGGCGCCCCTGGGGTTTCTCTCCAGCCTTAATAAAAGAGATTGCCTTCCTCGTAGCATGATGATGCTTGCTGATGCTGATTGCTGAGGCAATCTTTTCAGCAACTACTCTGAGCACCTGGTCGTGCCGCCAACGATACCGACCATCGGCCAGGGCCCTTGGGCAGCTGCTAAGGAGGTGTTCTAGGGTCCCTCTTCCAGAGCACAGGGGACAGGCAGGTGTCTCGCTCTTTCCCCACAAATGGAGGTTTGCTGGGCTTGGCAGAGTGTCGTATACTGCCTGCACTAGGAATCGGATCCGGTGGAAGTCTGCCTGCATGATGTTTGCCCAGGTGACCTTGCGCTGCAAGGTGCTCTCCCACCTTGTCCATGCTCCCTGCCGCTTAAGGCCTACAGCTCTGCTTACTCGCTCCTCCTCCACACCTGCTCGGACCTCTTCCTGGAGTAGCTGGTGTCTCTCCTTTCCCTGTGCCCTGCTGACCTGGGCCTTTGGGATGTACCCCAAGCCTGCTCCCCCTTGATATTGTATGTATCATATGCATGACGGTACTATGTCTGATGATTAATATGTGTATATTTTCTCTCTTGAATTTTGCACCTATTGATGTTTTTAAGTACTTATGTACTGCTGGTTAGCTTGAGCTGTCATACAAACAAGTAACTATTTTAAAATTAATAGTATGGAATACAAAGTGCAATAACTGCATCTTATAACATAGAAAAGAAAACTTTGTACTATGGAGTAAAAGCAAAAAGCCGCATAACATGAACATATTAAACATATTAAGATAAAATTGTGTAAAGAAAAAGATGTTTTACTGTTACTGCAGCAATTCGTGGCAAATAATTGTATCTTCGTATATTTAAGTCAAATTTTAGGCTAAAATCCCGTTAAAAAGTGACATTCTAACAGTCCTTCCTTCAAACTATTTGTTTATTTTTGCATCTACAGAAAATATGACAGGCCAAATCTACGCGCGTAATAAATAATTCATATGAGCAAAAGGGGGGCGTGTGCACCTTGTGCCATTTGATGACGGCTGAGCCGTTTCCCATTATTCAGAAACACATGCCGGAGTTTATCTGCGCCCTTTGCCTCCACATCCACGCTGATTGGGAGCAAAGGGCGATCAGTGCAAAACTCGACGGTGAATAACTGAAGCGTGACGACTTGTGTTTGTGCTCAAGTTTTGCTCAAGGTGAGCCGAACGAGGCATCGACAAAACATGTAGGAAACGAGGTGAAGCTTGGGTTCATTTTTTCTGTGAACAGGTTTTTGTTCAGTCATTCATCAACTTGCTTTTCTCGGTGCCCCACAGATCGCTCTCTGCCTGATGGCTGTTCCGTTCGCGTGTTGTTCAAACTGTCTTGGCTGCTGAAAGACGTGACCCCCGCGCATCGCAGAGCGCCACACGCGCACCTGTCGGATGTAAGTGGGAAGCGGTCGGTGAGCTTATAGAGCGAGAGGGGGAGAGAGAGATGGTGACTGCTGGGTTCAGCACGCTGGATAGCGCTCGAGGAATTTGGAAAGTACGGCGGCGGCGGCGCGCGGACGCACGAGGATCTAAGTGAAACGAGTGCGTGGAGCCGCCGGAGAGATGAGCGACCATGGTGGATTTGAAGTTCTCGTTTGCAACAACAGGCGCAGGTAACGTGCGAGTGGACTTTCTGGAGTGAGACATGGACTTTGCTGAAATCATTTTCGCTTTGTTCATCGTCGTGGTCGCGATCGTCTCGCTGTTGTCCAACTTGTTGGTGCTGCTATGTTTCGTCCACAGCACCGAGATACGCCGACAGGTGCCCGGTGTTTTCACCATGAACTTGTCTTTCTGCAACATACTCATCACTGTTTTGAACATGCCGGCCACTCTGGTGGGGATTATCAGAAAGCAGCAGCCCTTTGGAGATTGCGTTTGCCACACGGTGAGCTTTCTGGAGACTTTTCTCACCGCAAACACCATGCTGAGCATGGCGGCTCTCAGCATAGATCGGTGGATAGCGGTCGTCTTCCCGCTCAGTTACTCCACCAAAATGCGCTACAAGGACGCACTGATCATGGTGTGCTACTCCTGGCTGCACTCCTTTACCTTCTCCCTGACGGCGCTGCTCTTCTCCTGGGTCGACTACAGCGACGTTTACGCGTCCTGCACCTTGCAGCCGAGCGAGGAAGGCAGCGACAGGATTAAGTTTACAATCTTCACTATCGTTTTCCACGCCACCAGTTTCATTCTGTCCCTGCTCATCTTGTGTTTCACCTATTTGAAGGTGTTGAAGGTCGCTAGGTTTCACTGCAAGAGGATTGACATTATCACCATGCAGACTCTGTTCCTGCTAGTCGATATTCACCCAAGGTAGTTCACCTCGTGTATTGTGAGCATGATTTCTCCCGGTCTGTTTTGACAGTGGCCTTGTGGCAAAAAAGTCTAAATGTTCTTTGCTGTTTTCAGCGTGAAACAAAGATGCTTAGCAGAGCAAAAGAGGAGAAAGCAGAGAGCCACGAAGAAGATCAGCATCTTCATCGGCTCATTTATCATCTGCTTTGCTCCTTATGTAATCACAAGGTGAGTCAACTCATACATAATTCAACTTACTGCAAAACAACTGCTTAAGAAATAACTGACCCCACACATTTGTAAAATAATACATCTTCGACGGCATTTGACTAAGTAAAAAATACATTTAGCCAGCATGTTGAGATCTGCATCCACGCTGATCAGCTTTGCAGACCTGTTTTCTTCACATGCTAATGCAGTACAAACTCACAATGTCCGATCAGATACAAGCAAACAGTTTATTCCAAGCTGACAGCACACCGCTCATAATTTCAATGATCATTTCCTTAAACTGTGATATGGCTCATTAGCCACCTGTGCTGCGCTGTACATAAACATGGCAGGCTACTTCCAGTGAAAGACACGCATTAGAGTCTAGGACAATAGATACAGTTCAAAGAACCAAAGAGGCTCCCAGAGAAGCGTGGAAATGCTTTAGTGGGCCACAAATCGCCCAGATGCGGTGCTGATGATCCATCAATTTGACATTTGTGGTGTGCTCATATATGGAAGGGAAGAAGGAGGACAAATTAGCAAAGAGCAGCGTTTGAGGTGGAGTAACCCCCCACTGACCGTGCCTGCCCACAGGAAGTGTCTAGTGTGGCAGTTGGCACCTAAGCATCCAATTATGATAATTCATACGCATATTTTATCTTTTGTACTTGTAAAGTAGTCTTTGCCTCTGTGGTATTTTGATGGTCGTGTTTGATTTCACTGTTCCACATCCCCCCTGACCAGAAGAATACAGGAGACTGTGTTAGAAATGTGGAGAGGCGCTCAGCTGTGTGGTTTAAGTTGAAAAAGGCAAAACCCTACGCTGTGTTTCAAATACTTTAACTGATAGTATAGTAAGTAAGTAAATAAATAAATAAGAAAATGTAATCTCCACTGGACAGAAAAAACTTCTTTATTGGATAATTTGAAGCGCCTTAATAAAATCTACACAATATCTATGGTCATATGTAATGCCTTTAAAAATGATAATTTCTCCACCTTTTTTAATGTTTTGATTTGATGTTAACGTGGCACTGAAAATGCTTTAGCATTTAATTCAGTAACCAACATAAAGATGTGGAAACTATTTAAATATCTGTGCAGGTTCTCAGCAATCCGGGTCATAGTAGTCTAAGGAGCTTGAAAAGAAGGTGATGGGACTTGTTTAATTGAAGAAGATTCTTAGATGAGACCAGGCATCTTCTTTTTTAAGCTCCTTAGACAACTATATAACCCCTTTTTAAAAAAAAAAAAAAAACATGTGTCAAATGAGACCATGTTTTGAAATCTATCTGTTCATTTTTAATTTGATGGGATCAATATGTTTAAAAAAAACATTAACTGGTGAGACAGGGACACGTCTGTCCCTGTGCTGCTTCAGAGTTTCTTCTACATGCTGAAGTTTTCAAATGTATTTTTTCACCTGCTCAGCAGAGTATCCTTGATCAAGTCTCTCCTGTGAGAGTTAAACCTCACAATTCCTTAAACACGATGAGAGTCTTCATGGCCTTTTTTGGGTATCTATCTATATTTTGCTTTTGTTTACTGGCCTCTTCAGCCAAAAAAGCTGAATTTTAGGTTATTAGAAAGTAAAATATAAAAATGCATTCAGTAGGAGGACAGCTTAACAACTGGAGCAATTGGAAGGTTATTCTTGGTATAATATGACAAATACGCCACAGTAAATAAGCCTACTGACGTTTTCTTTCTTTACTTAGGAAACTTAGTTCTATCAAAATTTATAGTAACATTAACATTTTGGCTTTTTAAAAAAAAACTTTAATCATAAAAATAAAGGGTGGTTGGTCTGCAGGGTAGCCAATCTATCATCAGGACCCCTTTACTGCAGAGTCATACTGTTAGATTACACACACAACACAATTTTGGTGTTGTCTTGGTGTTATAATAGGTTGCACTTTCCCTGAAAAGGACATTGTCTGTGTGGCAGCATATGTCACTTTGAAACTTGCATGCATTATTCAGCATTAGTGGGTCATCATAAATGTGCATAGTACTCATGTAGTGTGCACTAATGCACCTTCACACTGTCAGAGACGACAGCTTTTGAAGTGCGCTCTGATAACAGAAAGCAATGATCCTGTCATAGTTCTGAGACTTAAAGACACAAATATACATAAACTGAGGCTCAGTGGAAGGAGAGGGCTATTTATACACATGGGGTAAACAGGGACGTGGAAACAGCTGGATGAAATGAAACAGGTGAAAACAATCAAGACAACCAGAGGGAGGGAGTAAAGTTCAGATACAGGAGACATGTTTCAAAGAAAAAAGAAAGAAATAGCAAAAGCTCCAACCAAAAACAGGAACAAAAAATACAATAACAAAAAATCTGAATCGGACTTTACAGGGAAAATTCAAATCTAGATACTTTTACTAAGCAAACTGAAAACAGGGCCAAGGTCAGGGACCACAGCAGGTCTTCTTTAATCCAGAGGACACAGCATCTGTGATTTAAAAAAAAGTCAGATTTAATTGAAAGAAAACAAGAAAAATGATCAGTTTCATCAGCTAATATTTAGTCTGTGTGCTGTTCTTTAGTTAAAAATAGCTTTTGATTATTAGTTTTTGTTAACGTTTCACACAGCCTCCCAACTTTGGTCGAAATGGAGTTCTTTGTTTGGTTTGTTTTTCATTTAGGCATTTAAAAATCTGCCACACAGTTCCTTTTGATCATTAATAACACGAGTGGTCTGAACATAAAAATCCGAGGTGAAAAAATGATAAAAGATCTCCTTCTTTTGAAAGGGCAGAGTTATAAAAACAATTTCACCACGTTACACCTACCATTGCAAAAGAAAAAGAGCACACAATTGCATTTCCAAGCCTCTTTTATGATCATTATAGAGTACCTAACGTGTTAAAGGTTTTATGGTCAGTCTTACCTAATCATCTGACATGACATCAGGACAAATCTCTGAGCGGCACCTTCACTAAAATGCACTCTGTTTAGTCATGTTTCTCCTGATGCCCCTTCAGGTTGGCTGAGCTTCTCCCGTTCGTGGACGTCAACCGCCACTGGGGAATCATCAGTAAGTGCCTGACATATAGCAAGGCTGCGTCTGACCCATTTGCCTACTCTCTCCTACGTCAGCAGTACAAGAAAGTCCTGGTCACCGTCGTCAACAGGCTACTCCGACGTGACCTGTACCCTTCGTCTGGCCATAACAGCTCTTTAGACACAGAGAACGACTACTGTCTCCAGAGGATCAGTTAATGGCAAATGCAGGACGTGACATATGCACACGCTACAGTGCAGGCCAAAAATAAAGGTTGCCTCTTGCAGAAAAAAAAGGTGGGTGGAGAGAAAAAAAGAACAGGAGAGAGAAAGAGAGGACAGGTTATTGTTAGAAAGAGAAAAGAGAGTCGAAAGATGGGACAAGGAAGTGGGTGGAAGGTGAAGAAGAGAGCAAAAAAAAAAAAACCATAAGGAAGACGGTGGGCGGACAGGAATGAAAAGGTGGCGATGTGGGGGAGGATGAATGGGCAAAAAGATAAAGAAGAGATGGGTAAGACGACAGATAGGGTGGAGACGTTGGGGAGTGACGGCAAACAAGGGATCTGTGATTCATCAGGAACAGCATTCCCCAGAAACCACACAGCCAGTCTATTTCACTGAATAAGTCATTGGCTCATCTAAAGCTGAGGGGACGCACAGCTGGAGATGAGGTCCCTTCTTCACTCTGAGCGACATGTAAAAGGTGGCCTTCCTCTACTCCAACAACTTTAGAATCATTTCAAACCTGTTCTTGCCCCACTTAACATCGCACACACGGAGGCTGGTGGTCGATAAGCAGCCGAGCGACGACGGGCAAAGAGGGAAAGACTTTTGTTGCTCCTGCTTCTGTATAATGTCCTGTCAGTGAATGGATGCAGACCTAAATGTGGAGGCTCAGCTGCTGCACATTATTGCCATGTTCTGTATTGACTGTGTTAGACTACTTTGCAGTGTCATGTCAGTCACTTAATATTGATGCACTTTGTCTAATTCTCTCAGAGATGCTATACCTAAAGGAGCCAAAGGCATTTGACATTTACACCCTAATCTTAAAGGATGAGTCTGGTGAGAGGCTTTATTCTTTGTTACTGTCACCAAAATCAATTAGTTGGTCGGTTTCTCAGTATTTTCCAACTTCCCAAGCATCCCTGTTCTTTGAATTTCTCAAGTATAGACAACAATTAATGTGCATGTTTAGACTATTTCCATTAATACACAGGTCAGTCTTTAAAAGCTTTATTTATTTATTTTTTAAAAATTGAAAGTTATATTTTGTATACATCACACGTACAATGAAATATGCCAAGGCTTTGTTTGTTTTAGTTTTTCTAAATTTCTCATGAGCTATGTTTTATAGCTCATGAAAATCACACATCCAGTACAACATTCACTAACGTCAATCATAGAATTATTTATGAAGGAGAGATGCCCGACTTTTTAAAAGTATGCAGAGGTGATCTGTGGCTCTGCTGAGGTTGTTATTGAAGCGGGGCAGGTGCAGGAAAAAGAAATCAGGATCTCCGTAAGGCTCGCCAGCAGATGAAAGCTTGATGTGCTCTGAAACCTCCTGGTAGATGCTCCTTTTACTTTGGACTTCATAAAACACAGTGGACCAACCGTTAATAACAGCAACCCAGTTCATCAATGACTGCAGAAGCTTCACACTGGACTTTAAACACTCCGCTCCACTCTCCTCCAGGCACTAGGACTGAGACTTTCAAATAACATATAAAATTTTGGGACATTTCTTTCCCAGGTAAGATACTTCTGACATCTCTGGTTCAGAAGTGGCTTGATATTAGGAATCAAAGTGGTAAATGCTAATGGACTGGTTCTTGTACAGCACTATTCTACTCGACTTGAACACTCAAAGCTCTCTGATCTAACATGCCTAATTCAACCATTCACACCCATTCATACAAGCGCTTTTTTTCCACACCTAAGTGCTTTCTGTGTAACATTCACATACATTCACACTCTGATGGATACATTGGAGAGCAACTTGGGGTTCAGTATTTTGCCCAAGGATACTTGCACACTTGCACACAGACCAGAGCAGCCAAGGATCAAATCACTAACCTTCTGGCCACGACCAGCTGACATTTGCACGCAGTGGCCCTTGATGCCAAGTTACCAGCCTCAGTCCACTTCTTGTGAAGCTCTTGAATTCTTGAATCGACTTTTTGGCAGTCCTCTAAAGGCTACAATTATTCCTGTTGCTCATGCACTTATCCTACCACACGTTTCCCTTCAAGTCAACTGTCCATTAATATGCTTCAATTCAGCTCTCAGTGAAAACAGCCAGTCTTTTCAGTTGAGACTGTCGGTGGTTCACTCTGTTTGTGGAGGGTGTTGGTGACATCTGGACAGTCGTCAAGTCAGCAGTCTTCCTGTTGATCGTGGTTACGAGGCCTTAAATAGACTCAGAGAAATACAGTATTTATGACGTGTGAATAGTAATTTACTCAAACTGAGAATGAAATCATAAGATAACGAGATACCGGATTTCTGATTTTCATGACCTATCATCAAAGTTACAGAAAAAAACTTGTCAGACATATTTCACATTGCATGCAATGAATACAATGAATGCAATGAATATTTCAAATAAATTGAAAATAAATGAACCTTTTCACAATATTGCAGCTGTCAGGACACACTTGTAGACGGCAGAAAGAAGATAAAAAACTACTTGACCACAAAACATCCATCACTGAATACTTGGCTTTCTTGGTTTTCCCAAATATTATGTTAGTGTGCATTTGAGTCATTATCTAATTAAATAAGCACCAGTCTGCAGGTTGAATAAAGCTAGGTTGTGTGGGCATATCACCAGTCCATAATTTTGGAATGCCATTTTAGCTTGGAGAGTTAATAAGAGGAGGGAGAACACTTTTTTATTTTATTTTCATTTTGTATATTTGTTGACAGTAAGAAAAAATATGGCAAATTACCAGATTTATACTTTTAAGTTAGAGTTTTTAACTGAATGTACCTGATCACCCACTTTTAACTGAAACGCGTTTGTATAATTGTGTTCTGTTTTGCCAGCTGACTGGAGAAGTCGTTTCTATGGATATTTACATAATGATATTACATATTTTGCACTGTACAGGAACAACTTTTTGTCTAGATAAATGGGGAGCAACGTGATGTAGCATAGGAGTGTTTTCAAAGTGCTTTAAAACACACTGCTCTGTGTTTGTGCCAGATTTAAATATGTGATTTTTTTTCCAGCTGTTCCACACAAGAACCAGAATAGCTGCTTCATTATAATAACAGTTATTATTATTACTAAAATAAAAATCTGGTTATTTGGATGTATTTTACTCACATGTATTTTTTCCTCCTGTGAGCCACTTGCTGTTCTTTGGCAGTGTGATTAGCTATTAGTGGAATATGTGCAATAATAAAAAGCTGTCAATTATAAAATACGAATATGAATGTTTTCACTGCAACGTTGCTGAACGTACACAAATGTCCTTTAATTACATCATATTTCATCTCCAGATTTGATTTGCCAGTTTTTATATTGAATTCAGCCCATGGACACAACAGGCCGGCACACTGAAAGACAAATAGCATGTCTTTTATTTAAATTTGGACTCATTAATTTCAGATTTTACAGTCTTAAATAAATAAAGAATAAACAGATGCATTTGAAAAGGCTTACACGGGGAAGTTATTCTCTGAATAATAAAAAGCTTTCCGGGTCGCACCTGTTTCTGCCTCACAGCCCTGATTGTGGCGCAGATAGCATGCAACATAAAAAATGACTCTGGTGTCACATGGAGAACTTCTCTTGCAATATCGGCAAGTATAATTAAAGAGAGGAGTTCATCTTTGTCAATTAATATATTCAAACTCAGTAATGAATCTCTTTTAATCTGATGCGTGGAAACAGACCAGCAGTAATTACTGGCAACATTAAAATTAGAAATCCCCATTTTTGGTGGCTCGCTCAACCACCGGCACCTCTGAATTCACAGGCAGTTAACGCTTAAAGCAGCTCAGGCTTGTGCAGAAGCCAGAGCTCGGCTATTTTTGCACCTCTTAATTAACCCCAATCACCAGAACCTGATAAAAGAGAAACTGGTAATTAAAACTGCTCAAATGGAAAATGTATGCATGGCACAATATGTGTCACAGCTGCTCGAGTTTAAAAGTACGGAATCGACTGAGCGGGTTTGCAGACTGTCAGGCCTCTCTTGAAAATATGCTTTCTACATGGCTATTAATACATGACTCCTCTCACACTCTAGAGCAGCCTGAGGAGGATTTAAAGACAGCAGCATTGTCTGCATCAGTGGTAAATATCTTAACCTCCTTCCACACTTCAGTCCACCTACATATGGTGATAAAGTAGACAAAATGATAAGCTTGTAATTAAAATAAGGAAGAAAAAAATCCAAGATAAACTGAATTAGAAGAGTCTGATTTCCATATAAGCAGCTTGTTTTCTGTTATTATTATAGAGTGTTGATGGAGAAGGAAGGAGAAGGTCAGGAGGTCATAGGAGAGGGCGCCACTGTGGTGCTGCATGAGGAAGTCAGGAGCGGCAGAGACATGTATGAGGACAGTGAGGCAGGGTTGAGGCGTGCAGCAGGCGTGATAGATGGGTTCAATGTGGGAGTGGGACTACATCGGCTGTGAACATCTTCTTGTTCGCAAAGGTCAGGCAGGAGTCTTTGTGGGCTATGACGTTTGCAGAAGACTTTGTGGTGTGTAGGGAGAGCGGGGAACAGGTGGAGGAGAGCCTGGAGAGGTGGAGGTATGCTCTGAAGAGAAGAGGAACGAAAGATAGAATATATGTGTGGGAATAAGAGGGACAGTGAAGCTGCAGGGAACAGAGGTAGTGAAGGTGGTGAACCATCCACACCGCACAAGAGAGGTGAAGATAAGAGTGCAGGCAGGGTGGAGTGGGTGGGGATGAGTGTCAGGAGTGATTTGTGAGAGAAGGATAACAGCAAGAGTGAAAGGGAAGGTTTACAAGATGGTAGTGAGACCTGCTGTGATGTATGGTTTGGAGGCGGTGGCACTGACAGAAGGAGGCCGAGCTGAAGATGCTCAGATTTTCATTGGGAGTGAGCACGCACATATATTTGTATGTATATATGTATATATATATATATATATCTATATATATATACACATATATACATATATATAGTTTGTTCATTAAAAGCTGTTCGAAACACTTTAAAACACTTGTCCGTTGCTACAGATCCACCCCTTTTTTTCTCCAGCAGTTTCCCACAGAGACACTTGATCAAAATCACAATTTACAAGTTTGTGCGTGTTTTCCATAGAGGGTCACGTCTCCCACGAGGCTCCTTTTCCATTCAGTTTCTGGGGCATGTAGTAATTTCCATAATACATGAACGTGTTAAGGATCTAATCAATATTCCTGGTTTAGCTGAAGGATGTAGTAGTATTTTTACTTTACCTCCACACCATCCTCCACCTGCCTGCATGATGAATACCCAGGCTTCCGGTTATGCAAATTCAACTCTGCCAAGCTTGAAGAAGAAAGGACTCTAATACTGGCTCAATAAGAAAAACAGATCACCTTCAAAATGGTATTTACTACTAATAATATTTTTTTGTCTAATAATGATTAAGATTTCTGCAGTATTTTATGTGATTTAGCCTTCTGAACATCACCGTAAAAGCTGCTACGCATCCACTTTGATTGGCAGCAAGTTTGAGGATTATAAATTGTAAATGTTTCTTGGTTGCTAGGTTTATTTAATCACAGCCAACTGGTTGTTGCTCCAACCTTGTGAGTTGGACTCAGGCTTACAAATATTCTTAAAAAGTCTTAAAAAGCTTAATTTAAAATGACATGTTGTCCAAAGCAAAACTGACACCAAAGAGAGAAGGCAAGAATAGATCAAAAGATATTAAGTACTCTAAGTATTTGCCAGATGTACAGCTACATCAGGTGTGTTATCAGGTGTGCTGGCCACTTTGTTAGGTACAACACGTCACCTGCCCATTAATGCAAGTGTCCAATCAGCCAGTCACATGGCAGCAATTTGATGCATTTAGGTATGTAGACACCGTCTACAGTCTGAAGTTCAAACTGAGTATCAGAATAAAAAGGAAAGGTGACTTTGAATGCAGCATGGCTGTTGGTGTTACATTGTCTGTGTATTTCAGAACCTTCTGATCTGCTGGATTTTCACACACATCCATCTCTGGGGTTTACAGAGACTGTTCTGAAAAAGAGAAAATATCCAATAAGCAGCAGTTCTCTGGATTAAAATGCCTTGTTGATGTCAGAGGTCAGAGGAGAATAGCCAGACTGCATTGAGCTCACAGGAATGCAACAATAACTCTGGTAACCAGGAGAAGAGCATCTCTGAATGCACATGTTGAACCTTGAAGCAGATGGGCTAATGATGGGCAGATGGGCAGTAGCAGCAAGAGAGAGGCAAAAAACAAAGGCTGAGAAACCTTTATAACCTTTCAATACACAAATTGACCAATACAGGAAAAATAAAAACACAAGTCACGTAAAGACTTCACTAAAACTAGCAACTCTGGTACTAAGTACTTGCAACATACGTTATTATTATTATTATTATTATTATTATTATTATTATTATTATTATTATATGTAAGTTCTGACTGACTTACTCACACACTGAAAGCAGCATTAGGTGCTTGTACTCTCTTTCTCTGCGGGCACGTGACTGGTTTGGGGGGATTTTTGTGGATTAGACCGCTTTAAGTGTATAGAACAGACAAATAAAACTAGAATATTGTGTTTAAACGTAGCACAAAGCTTCCCACAGGAAGGGGGATACAGAATGAAATGATAATCTGTGGCTTCATGACTAAAAGCAAGCTCACACTGACATTTAATATGATGTTATAATTTTACAGTCAGTTTAAAGCAAGAAGAAGCACCGACACAAACTATAAATTATTATTCTTCAGAATGAGGATTCATGTGAAGTGAAAATGTGAGGTTACTAGTCTAAATACGCAGAGCCAGTTTTGAGTTTCGAGTTAAACCCAGCAGCAGGCCCGTGAAACAGCCACCAGCCGTACTGAAAAACGAAGACGCAGCAAAATGTGAGCGAAAATTTGCCCATCCTTTCATGCACTTATCCCCGTTTTACCTCAGAGCCATTTCCTCTGTAACTCGATAGGAAACCGTAATGCTTGTAATAAAGTGGCTCACAGAGTTGCTCGGAGGAAAGTTTTGCAGACTTGGGACACTCCAACGCGCACACTCACGCCCTCTGGCTCAGTGTGTGAGGTGCCACATCGAAACGGAACATAAGTGTCGGAAAGTGCGCATCATGCTGCTGATCCTGCTGCAGTTGTTGGTTTTTGCGTCTTGTGCTCCTCCGCGATGCGACCCGAAGTTTCGAGGTAAACTTTCTGCACTTTTTGCGATAACAAACTTTATGCTGATGTGCGCATCTGGACCGGCCGCGCAAAAACTGGACAGGACGTCACGTGCAGGCTGTGGACTATTCTTGATTCAGAAGCTCATTTTTGTTCAATTAGACTTGTGAAAAATTCTTGTATATAACTTTAAAAAAACCTAAAGCTACAGGATGAGTGAGCTGAATTAGATGGTGACAGATCTAAAGTCTGACAGATGGTGTTAATGTTTTAGATGGAAGCAAGTTTAATGAATACGATTTATAGTCGTGGAAAATGTGATCCTCGAGGGACTTAATGATTCTTTGTACACTGACTGGCTTTATAGAGAGTTGTTGAAGCGAGCAGTGTTCTGTAGGCCCCACTGTAGCATTTACAAAAACCACCCTGCCATCTAGTGTCTACTCAGTGTCAGCTAATGGCATGCTGGTATGTCTTGCAGGACAGTGCAAGCCAATAATAGAAGAAAAACGTAAGTACCCATGGGCTTAAAGCAAGAAAAGTGTCATGCATGTGCTGTTTGCTATCTTGCTTTTCTGTACACTTTCTAATTTCTAACCAATCAGTTTTTTGTGCCTCTAACACTGGAAAAAACCAAGCCTCAAAGTCCCCCTTCTCCCCCCCCTAATATGCCAAGTGACTGCAACAGGACTGTTTTTCACAACAAACAGGAGGAGATTATAAATGATAGTGGGTGTAGTTTTAGTGGAATCTGTCCCCAAAGCCATAAAATCATTGAGTATTTTTAGATGATCGATGGCAGCATGAAATATTCAAATTCTAATTTCCAGAGATAATAGAAATATTTAGGACTAGATGATTGAGGACGGCACAGTGAAGCTCATGATTAAGCGCTGCAACAGATGGAGATACACGTCTTGATCTGTTACTTTCTAAGCTGATCCCTGATCTGTCTTCATTGTGGAATTTTTCTACTCAGCCAAATGCACAGATCTAATGCTGTCCTACTGCGATGACA